AGGGTTCACTTCGATAGTTACCAATGTAATTTCATGGTGAGTTAACCTAGACATGCATGCTTAATTTGGAACGGAAACTTGGAGAAAACCATGGGTTATAAACATGCATATTCTCTTACAATGGTGCCACACAACTGTGGATGTGATTTCATGTCCCCCCAACCCAGGGATGGGCATTTAAACCCGACCCGATCGGGTCGGATTTTTCTAAAAAAATTTGGGTTTGGGTCGGGTTTAGGGTGAAAAAAAAATTGACCCGATCCGAAAAATATATAATTTTACCCTATATATTTAGGGATAATTAAATAATATCCCTCTATATATAATTTTTTTTCAATTAAGTCACTGTTTTTATTGAATAAAAATATTTTTTATTATTTCGGGTCGGGTTTCTATGTCATATATTCGGGTCGGGTCGGGTGAAATCTTGTTTTGGTCGGGTCGGGTCTCGGGTGGAGGCTCTCTTGTTCTCGGGTCGGGTGGACCAAAAACCCGACCCATGCCCGTCCCTACCCCAACCCCACCCTACCCCCAAAAAAAAACTTATGTTAATGAAAGATGATATTAGTCATTTTCTTGCTCCAATCCGGATATGATATATTCTGATCCGATCTTCACATATGACGGATGTTGATCTAATCTAACTCGATAGAATCACTTAAAAATAGGTTTAGTTTGAATCAGCTTTTATTCAGAGTGAGATTAGGTGGAGTCGAGTTTAGGATAAAAATATTCAGCCCGTTCTGGGTAATAATATATTTTCCTAAAAAAAAATTAGGAATAGTTACTATAACACTCATCTCTCTCTAATTTTTTCCCAATTAGATCCATATTTTATAGAATAAAAATGACTATTAATATATTTATGTCGAGTCAAATGTAATTTTTATCCTAAAATTCAGGTGGAGAGAATGTACTTCTAGTGTTGGGTCAGGTCGGATGAAGAGGGTATACTTCTCGGGTAGAATTCAGTTAGAGGGAATATGCTTCTCGAGTCGATTCATATTGATAAAAACTCAACTCGTTATCATTCCTATATACAAATTAAAACTAAAAAAATTATATTATTAAAAAATACATCTAAAAATCACGAATAATTGTTTTTGGTTAAAAAAATACGAATATTAACGATAAAATAAATATGAAAGACGACAAAATCATATAATAAACTAAATATTAAAAAAATAAAATTTAATGGATTCGAAACAATATAACTTTTTCTTATAGGAAGAATATTATGTAGTTTTGCATGTGCAAGCATAACCCTAGTCTAGAGACTAGTGTCTTTGATTTTTTTTCAAGCATTCCCCAAATCAAAAGGTATACCCTTTGTTTATTTATTTGTTAAATTACAAAAAAAGGGTGGGGTGCCTCCTTTATGTGGGCCAATGGCTTAGGATTGGGCTGGCTGCCCTTAACCAAAACATGCACTAGGACTAAAGGATAGGGCCCTTTTAGACTTATCTTAAGCTCTTTGTGGGGCCTCTTAGACCAAATCAAAACTTCAATTGGCAAGGATACCGAGCCTTCAGGTTCGGGTTCCGAACCATGTGTTTAAATTTAGTTGAACGTTGAGTGGAGAGAAATAAAGTACAATGCAATAGGTTGCATGCATGCACCTTTTGGGAAAAAAATACAGTAGTCTCTTCAACGTTACTCCACGGTTAAGATAAAATTATACTTTTGATCCCTCTACTATGTTTAGTTATGATGATTTAGTCTCTATAGTTTGGCATAATTTGATTCATTTGTTCAATAGCGTTGTTTGAATAGGAAGATGATGGTCTTAGATGGTTCATCTTCTCTACATTAGGTGAAAAGTTATAGTCGATAATGGTATGAAGAATGAAGAGAAAATGATAGAAGAAGACGACAAACAATGAGTGTGGGGTTGAAGATAAACTCTTTCAACTCTATTTGTGCGGGTAAATATGTCTATGACATAAAGAAGTAGGGTGATTAATGTAAGTCTTAGGGTTGATAGCTATTAAAGGATTGACAGGTGGATATATCTGGTTGTCAGATAGTAGATTTAGTCGGTGATGAGATTGACAATGATCATGCCTATGGACTATAACTAAGTGGAGAGAATGATGAGTTACCTCTAGATGAGTCTCAGGTTATCTTAAGAAAAGCTCTGAAGGTCTCAGAACCCCTGTTGCGAAAAAGTAGTAGAGATATACAGAAAATGTACAACAAACATCGTTAGTTAATCCAAATGGTTACCGCATTTAATTATTTCGGTAAAAATGTTAGTTTTTTCTTAAGAACCCAACTTGAATGGGATACTTGAATGCATGGGTCAAAAAATCACCCAAAAACTATGTTTTTTTAAAACCTTCATAATGTGGGTTCTTGCTAATGAGCTCCTATAATGTCTTAAGGAATCTATGAAAGAAATAAACAGTTAAAAAGATGGTCTTGTCCGAAGATGAAGCTCAAAGTACAAATATGGGACTAATAATCATGTTAGAGTTCTTTTTTTGCAAAGATTTTGTTTATTAATGTGTTTGATGTTTGAGTTTTCCCTAATCATGCTCACATACGTTTATTTAGTCTTTACACATATGCAAAGGGACATCCTATCCTTTCCTTTATTTAAGTACTTGGAACAAGATAGCTATTGATGAATCTCCTACATGTACATTAAATTTCTTTCAAAATCTAGACTTTCTTTTCCTTTTTACATAGATTTGATCGGTAGGTGATGGTGATTGCAACTATTAATTCACTTTAATTTCATTCTTTATCACGTTTACAGTTCGTGTTAATCAAAGGGTCATTCGCAAGTCCTAATATACCATATAATAAGCTAACATATAAAGCATATTCATCTTATTTCTGAGTTATCAATGTCGTAGACCATAATATCAATACTATAACGATTGATATCGCTTTCCATAGGTTAAAGGATCATATTGATGTTTTCCTTCAGTTTGAGAACCTTAAGGGTGTGTTTGATTCACGGAATGTAAGATTACCAGTGGGAATAAAAGATTACGGGAAATAAGATTACTGAAAATGTTGTATTTTGTGTTTGGTTGGTTTAGTAGGAATGTAAGACTATAGTGTTTGGTAAAGGAATAAAATATTATTGAAATGTATATTTTATCAAATTGTTCTTATTATATATTTGTTTTTTAACAAGCTGAATTATACTATAATATTACTATAATTAATTTATATATTTTCTTTAAAAATTTAAATTCATAAAAAAATATATATATTTTTTACAAAATTGAAAAAGATAAATATGTTTAATGAAAGGGTAAAATTTTATTTTAACACCTGAACTTCATATGAAATTTTAATTATAGATTTTTTTTGTAAATCTAAAATAGTTTAAGGATAAATTTGTTGGATAACCTTCGTAGAATTTTTATTATTCAACGATAGAATAATGATATTTTTGAAAAAACAATTAAGAGCATTTTAGTCCAAAATGTCGGTAATCTAACAATACCTAAGGGAAGGGGTAATCATATTCCCGTTAATATACCTAAAAAAATCAACTGTTGGTAATAAAAGATTATCAGGAATATGATTACTGGCCAACCAAACTGGAGAATAAGGATTACATTCCCCCGATAATCCTTTATGCCGTGAACCAAACGGCCCTAAGTACCATTATCCTTATATTCTTTATAAATTAAATGACATGAAAATTAATGGATAAATCATTATAAAAGTCCCTATAATATGCATTGGATTGCCGTTAACCGTTGATGCGGAATTCTAATATGTTTTGTTAGATTAAATGACGTGAAAATTAGTGTTCATTGGGATTAAAAAATATTTTATAAGTTTACCCAACAGTCCCCCTCTTTTAACATTTCTTTTAAATAATCGTTCATTAAAATAAATAACACGGTCAGGGACAAATACAAAATTTTTTATTAGAAATACAAACTTAGAAATTTATATTTAAGTATTTAGGGTTACGAAATTATAAATTTTCAGAAATGTAAAATTATATTATTTGTAAAAAAAACACTTACATTATAAGGGAATTTAAAAATTTCAGGAAGTGCGGCCGTATCTCTATGTCTATCCTCGATAAACAATGATAGTTTGATATTAGAAGAAATGTGTTTAGGGTTCCGATGGTAGTCGAGATGACATTGTAACATTCGAAAAAAATGAATTATTTTATTTATGTTGTAACATATATGGATTCACTTGCTTATTATACCCAACCGATTTGTATATCTTTCAAATTTACAAGATGATTCGATCTCAAATTAATTTTAATAAAATTGAATTAATCTAAATTCGAAGTAATCAAAATTTTAAAAAAAATTTAAACTCATAAAGACCTTGAAAAATATAAAATATCCTAAAATGATCAAAAAATATCGAATTTTGAATAAAATTTGAGAGTAAATAACTACATTAATTAGTTCCTAATAACCTAAAAATAAATAACATAAAAATAAAAAATAGAAAAATAAAACAAAAAAACAAAAAAAATGAAGTTTTAAAATTAGTCCATCATTTTCTCTTCCCGAGAAAATATAAACCATGAAGCTCTCACGTAACCATGAGGTTCGGAGTCAGGTTTGGTGTATGGTTCTTCTCCTTAATATCAGAATAGAAACTGTAACAAAAGGAAAACAGAGGCAGAGAGAGAGAGAGAGCCTGAAAACAGGAAAAGGAAAAACACCGAGAAAATGAGAGAAAGTGAGGGAAAATTGTTTAAACCCCTCCAAATCTTCTCTCTCTGTATTATCTGTATACAAATATCCAATACCCATTTTTGAAAAACTTAGAAAAAAACATAGAAACACAAAACAAAAATCATTGGTCTCTGTTTTTAACCTCCCCTGTTCCTTGAACAGAGCTTTTCGTTATAACAAAAGAAAAGAGGAAAAATTCAAAATTTGGAATCTATTTATTCTTTTAAGATTTGGGTTTTGAAAGTTAATCTAAATGAATTGATAATTTTGAATTTAGTCTGAAAAAAATCGTAGTATATTTTGTATATTTTTTTGGGCTGAAAAATGGCATCGGATTCGGTGATTCCGCAAGCCACTGTAATATCAGTTTTGGAAGAAGTTATTCAGAAGCATGGAACTCGAATTGACGATATTAGTCATATTACTAATTCGAGAAACACAGAGGAGGCTTGTAATGATCTAACTTTCTTCTTTTTGTTATAAATCTCAATGTTGATCATTCTTGAGCTTTATTGGAATACAATCTTGGGTTTTCTTTATGTTCATCAGTTTTAATCATGTTTAAGGTTTTATATTCTATGAATTCCATGTTAAGAGATAGAAATTGATATGTTTTTATTAGTTTTCATGATTTTATGACAATGTTGAGGATTTGTTGTTTGAATTCTGCATAAATGCAATAGAATTCAGAGAGAGTTTCTAGTTCTTGTTAACATCAATGATTTACTGAACTTGTTTGTTGTTTTTTAGCTTGGAAAATATATGAAGCTACTGGGTGGCTGAGAAAAACAGTTGGAGTAGTTCTGGGTAAAGATTTGCCTGCTGAGCCTTCTGAAGATGAATTCAGGCTCGGGTTGCGAAGTGGAAAGATCCTGTGCACTGCTCTTAACAAGATTCAACCTGGATCTGTGCCTAAGGTATGTATGATTCATTAACTATTTTTTTTATAGTATTCAACTTGCTTGATCAAATGTCTGATCTAATATATATGTGTGTGTATATATATTTATATATCTTATGTCAATTGTAGATAGTAGATGGACCTAGTGATTCAAGTATAATTCCTGATGGGGTTGATTTATCAGAGTACCCATTCTTTGAGAATGTGAGAAACTTCCTTCAAGTTATAGAGGAACTGGGGATTCCTACTTTTGAAGCTTCAGATTTGGAACAGGTTAGTCTATTGAAGTTTTGAATTTTGTTAGAATGAAACAGTCTGTGCAGTTTATCATGAAATGAATGTTTCTTGAATGTCAATCTTTTTTCAGGCTGGGAAAACTAAAAGGATCGTGCAGTGTGTTCTTGCATTAAAGTCTTACAGTGAATGGAAAAAGAGTGGTGGAGTTGGTGCATGGAAATATATAGAAAGTGCCAAACCCCCCACAAGTCCCGTGCCGGTGAACCCCCCCACAAGTTCCGGGCTGGTGAGATCTTTCACACGAAGAAACAGCGAACCGTTCATGAATTGTTCCCTTTCAAGGACAATGTCATTGGGTGAGAAATCCATGGACAGCTTGAATAGTGAGCAGTCGGACCTCAGTGACACGGTTAGTGAGCCTTTTCTTGCCGGTTCTCTTTCATGTTCTTGTTTTATGGATTGAAATGACGAACATCTAAGCTCATTTCAGGCTTCCTTGCCTTCTTTGAGTATGTTAGTTCGAGCAGCCATTTTACATAAGAGGCAAGAAGAGATTCCAATGGTAATGTCCTCCTCTAAGAATATTATCTAGATTAGTCACTTTATTTAGGACGGAAAATAGTTTAATGAGGGAAAACCATAAAAACAACTCTTCTGGTTCTACAACAGATCGTGGAATCTATGATAACTAAAGTCTCGGAGGAGTACGAGCGTCGCTTGGCAAGCCACAGTGAACTGGTGAGCAGATTTAATTCTTCAGAACTGTCATTTCTTTAAACTTGAAATTTCAACGATTCTCCGTTAGATAAATTTGCTTACATTTTCTCTTTTGCAAGTATTATTAGAGCTAAGGGCTGTATGCAACATGTTTGATGATGTAGTCTGTCTTATGATCTCAGTAAACGTTCATATACATGGGTCCTTAAGTCTCTTAGTAGCTTTGTTTTTTCCAAAGAAAAGGTAAACTTATTTCGGGTTATCTGACAGAGTAAAACTAGTTCAAAGGATATGGAAGAATCTCTTCCTGTTAACTCTCTGTCTCTAACTGCCTCATGCGATGAGGACAAGGTAGGCCAAATATTTCCAAGTAGCTTTTAGTTATTGCTTTATGCAATTACCAATTGAATACTTCCATATCCTTTAAATAATATAACGATGAAGGTTGAGGTAGAAGTAGAGGCACCAGAAGAGGTAGAGGCACCAGCAGAGGAAACGGTTGAAGATGAATCATCGACCGAGTCAAAGAAAAAGGAACCTCAAAATGAGGAGTGCAATACCGATGAGGAAACACCAAGGCATCTTTTGGAACAGAAGACAATGGTTGAACAACAACATCAACAACAACAATATATTCTGGTAATTTGCAGTAATCACCAGTTCTAGTTATAAATTTTGTATCATCTACCATAGGGATGCAGATATGAAGTAGTGCATGTCGTTGTGGCTGTAGGAACAACAAAGGCATCTTTTGGAACAGAAGACAATGGTTGAGCAAGAACAACAACAATATATTCTGGTAATTTGCAGTAATCACCAGTTCTAGTTATAAATTCAGTATCATCTACCATAGGAATGCAGATATGAAGTAGTGCATGTCGTTGTGGCTGTAGGAACAACAAAGGCATCTTTTGGAACAGAAGAAAATGGTTGAACAACAACAACAACAATATATTCTGGTAATTTGCAGTAATCACCAGTTCTTGTTATAAATTTTGTACCATCTACTACAGGGATTCAGATATGAAGTAGTGCATGTCGTTGTGGGTGTAGGAACAACAAAGGCATCTTTTGGAACAGAAGGCAATGGTTGAACAACAACAACAACAATATATTCTGGTAATTTGCAGTAATCACCAGATCTAGTTATAAATTTCGTATCATCGACCATAGGGATGCAGATATGAAGTAGTGCATGTCGTTGTGGCTTTAGGAACAACAAAGGCATCTTTTGAAACAGAAGACAATGGTTGAACAACAACAAAAATATATTCTGGTAATTTGCAGTAATCACCAGTTCTAGTTATAATTTTTGTATTATCTACCATAGGGATGCAGATATGAAGTAGTCATTGTCATTGTGGCTATAGGAACTGAAGCATAGTCTTCGTTCGACAAAAGTGGGTATGGAACATTTGCAGACGAAATACCACGAAGAGTTTAACAATCTAGGTACTAACTTGAGTTAATCCATCATTCCTTTTATCTTGTTCTAAATTAAAGATGCAATATTTTTCATCTTCTCTTAATAGGTAAGCACTTGCATACTCTAGCTTATGCAGCTTCGGGATATAAGACAGTTCTTGAAGAAAACCGCAAGTTATACAATCAAGTGCAGGACCTGAAAGGTGTCTTTAACAGTTCAAAAGTTTGATTTAGTGAATATACCATGTGTTACATTCAAATCAAATCTCAATTTTATTTTTTTATTATTATGTTTTAGGGAGTATAAGAGTATACTGTCGAGTAAGACCACAATTTGGTGTGCAATCAAACGTTTTGAGTTGTGTAGACCACATAGATGACACAACTATCACAGTCCTTGTCCCTTCGAAAAATGGAAAAGAGGGCCGAAAATCATTTACTTTTAACAAGATTTTCGGTCCTTCTGCAACCCAAGGTTAGCAATGCCAAAAGAACTTGTTCTATCTATGTTTCTATCCATGCTATTTTCTTTTTAGTTTGTCAGCCTTCCCTGAGCATCAATTCTCATTCCGTGCAGCGGAGGTTTTCTCTGATACCCAACCTTTGATTCGATCCGTTCTTGATGGGTTTAATGTTTGTATATTTGCATATGGTCAAACAGGATCAGGGAAAACTCATACCATGGTAAGAAATGCAGCATTTTGTCACTGCACTGATATTTTCTTTTAAGTTGATTAACAAAAACTTGTTCTTCATCTCATTTGTGAATCCAGTCTGGGCCTACAGTGCTCACAGAGGAAGGCTTAGGTGTAAACTACAGGGCATTGGGTGATCTATTTGAAATCACGAACCAGAGGAAAGAAACCATTTCCTACGTAATTTCGGTGCAAATGCTTGAAATTTACAATGAGCAAGTCAAGGATCTCCTTGCAGCTGATGGTGCAAATAAGAGATATCCTTTATATCAGACATGTTTATCTGGAATGTTATATGTTATTTATTTTTCCTCGTAGACCCTTTTGTGTTCTCTAACTCCTACATACACTAGACATTCGTAACAGCTCTCAAAATGGGATTAATGTACCTGATGCACAACTTGTACGTGTATCGTCGACATCTGATGTCATAAACTTGATGAACCTTGGGCAAAAAAACCGCACGGTTTTCTCCACAGCCATGAATGACCGGAGTAGTCGATCTCACAGGTCCATTCTAATATTCTGGTTTTAATTTCACGGGACTGAGTTCATTTCTAAGTTTTAATCTGGTGTCCTTCAATACAGCTGCTTGACAGTTCACGTCCAAGGAAAAGACCTTACTTCAGGAAACGTTCTTCACGGCTCTATGCATCTGGTTGATCTGGCAGGAAGTGAAAGAGTTGACAAATCCGAGGTGACGGGGGATCGGTTAAAAGAGGCACAACACATTAACAAATCCCTTGCAGCTTTAGGCGATGTGATCGCTTCTCTCGCTTCGAAAAGTTCACATGTTCCCTATAGAAACAGTAAACTTACTCAGTTGCTGCAAGATTCACTTGGTAAGGTTATGTTGGAATCCTCATAGACAAGTATAGTTTCTTTTCATGATCCAATGTATTATTGTCTTCTGATCATGTTATTGGTCTCATCATCGGTCAGGAGGACAAGCCAAAACACTCATGTTTGTTCATATTGCTCCCGAGTATGATGCTCATGGAGAAACACTTAGTACACTCAAATTTGCAGAAAGGGTAGCCACAGTTGAGCTTGGTGCTGCTAAAATGAACAAAGATAACGCAGAAGTGAAAGAGCTTAAAGACCAGGTTTCTTCTTGTCTTACATTTTTAACTTAAAGCTTGCTTATATTTTAATCGTTTGTTCGTATAAACATTGTATCTCTTTTCTACTGTTTTCAGATAGCTATTCTTAAAGCAGCCTTAGCCACCGCGAAAAAGGAAGGAGAGGCCGAGCAAGTGCAACGGAGTCAAACCATACCCACCAGTCCAGAAGCAAAAACATCGAGCCTTGAAACATCCCCTTCTCTTCCAAAAGGCCAAAGTTCCAGTGATCAGTCTAGCAGTGTCTGTAACGCTGAGGTATGCTTTAACAGCCAAATTGGTAGGAAATAAATCTGATTTCATTGATTAATATGGAAAAAACCATCTTTCAGAGATGGAAAATTGTTAATTTTCTGTTGGTATATCTCCACCGTTGGAACCAATGAAAAGATTTGCATAACATGACATACTTTGCCTGGTGATTCAGAATGAGTCTTCAACCACGTCTAGGAGAGGAAGTTTGGAAATCCAAGACATGTTATCGAATCCGTCTCTTTGGCCACCTCTTGAGGTTGTCAAGTCAAACGAAGATGATAAAACCATGGTCAACAAGCAAGACAACTTGAATAAACTGTCTGCAAACAAAAAGGGCAACCAAGAGAACGATCAGCAACGAGTTCGCTCTGAAGTTGGCTCCACCGATGATTCTTCCAGCATCGATGCTACAACTAGCGATTGTTCGGAGACCGACTCGGTTTCGCTATCCAATACCATTCCTAAAACAACCACTGCTTCAAATGGGATGGCACTTAAACCAAAGAGACAGCAACAATCCAGACTACCTAGTCCAGCAAAGACCAAGACCACAGAAGTCAAGTAAGCTGCCTTTATCAACTCACCAATATTTAGAAATGCCTTTATCAACACAGAATTCAGTTTTGTGATTTACATTTCATTTTTTTTTTGACAAACCAGGAGCGCAATTCCATCACTAATACCGCCACCATCTTCCTGGAGACAGTCAACCGGAGCTATTACAAATGCGAGCAAGCCAAAACGGAAAACTGCACCAACAAAGTGATTAAACCAACAGTGTTAAACGAACCGGCCTCCTCATTTTTTTCCCATTTTTCATTGTGCTCCTTACTTGTGTATGACTTAGTTGCAGTGAAAAGGAGATGGTCACATATAAAGTAGTGGCAACAATGCCTGTGTTTAGTTGTGGTAAAATCATAATCCATTATCCAGGTGATGATAATTTGATTTGAGAATTCTTTGCTTTTGCTTTTTCTGTTTCTTCTCCCTCTCTTCCTCTATTGTTCTTCTTGTTTTACCTAGAACTTGAAGGAGGAACTGTCTTACATGGAGTACATGAGTGAGTTTTTTCAGTACTAATATTTCAATACGCCTACTTGTATGATTTGGTCATTTGATAATGCTAACATTTATTTTCCGAAACAATTTAAGCTCGAAAAAACTTAAACCCGAAGTTCGGAAATGATCTAAAGATATAAAGAGTGTGCATATACACCAAGAGGCTGCAGCAGGAGGAGAAATTTTAGCCACAATTAAAGCAAAACGATCATGGGCATGAATGTTGATGCATGTCACATTTCCTTTTCAAATGAGTGGCTAACCTTATGTAGGTCCCATAAATCACATGGCCACGTCACCAAATGCTTTTTTTTCTTTCCTAAAAACCAGAAAATTTTCCCCCATCCACCATTCTTTCTGCCAGCCAAAAAACAGCAAATTTCTATTATTATTTCTTCCTTATAAGAAGGGATAATATAACTTTTAACCCCTGAACTTGACAATCTTTCAATTTGGTCCCTAATTTTTTATCGACACCAATCCTTGAGTTTGGAATTTTTAATCATTTTGATGGAGCATCACTAGGAGATTGTTCCACAACTAAAAATGGGAAACATTATCAAGTTTACAAGTAAATATTGATAACATAATACTGATTAAATCTAAAAAATGGTCAAACTCAGGGACTAGAAAGTTGATTTATCCATTTTATGAATGAACACATAAGTCAAAACCCAATTTCCATTTAGACCCTGAATTTTTTGACAGGTAGATTTTCTTCATAATATAGCCAGATGGATTATTATTTTAAGGAAATATCAATATCAATAAATAAATAAATAAAAAAGTCAAACACCACTTTCTCCTCTTATTATACCTACTATATTACTTTTTTGTAATACTTTTACATAATAATTATTATTAGTTGTCAAAAAGGGTAGGATGAATTGATGGTTAACATACCACAACACATATTATAATGAATTTTTTTTAAAAAAATATAAAGAAAAAGGGTAAATTTATTTTTGTGACTCATGTGTAAAATGTTAAAATACAAGGCAGTCCTTTGCATAATATAACAAAGTTTTGCTCTAGAGAACATTAATTAATTGAATTTTAAAATGTATTGTGTAATCAATTTAGTTCTTTTAAGATAAAAATTGGGAAATCATCATTAATATTTGACGGTTGTTTTGTCATGTCAAAGGTATTTCCCTTTCATATTTTTTCCTTAATATATATTGTAGGGGTAAGTTAAATTTTAGTCCTAAACTTGATGAAGTTTTTAATTTAGTCCTTATATTTTTTTCTATATTTGTCCTGAATCTGACAAATTTTCTTATTTTTTTGATTATGTGGAACTCTAAGATAATCTCATAGTTTCATGTTATCAAAATAAATAAATAAAATCAAGTTTACTGCTGATGCAGATAAAAACAATTAAGGACCAAGTTAAAAAGTAAACAAATACAGGGACTAAAAGTTACTTTATACCTATTATTTAGGTGGGAAAATATTAAGATTTAGGACATAAGTGCCATTAAAAGATTCCCCCCGCCCTCCCCTCGAAAATCAGCACCAAAATGAAACCCGCGTTTCTCTCGCTCTAGATTTCTCTCCCAAGCAAATCACTGTGAGCTCCCTCTCCCTCTCTCTCTCTCTCTCTCTCTCTCCTTTAGGGCTTTGATTTTTGGAACCCAGAAAAAGCACAAAAAGGAGAATGTGTTTTTGTACAAGCAGATAAATGAAGAGGTGCCCAATGTACGGCTAGACCTGCTCGATCTGAGGCTCCTCTCTCTCTTCGCCTTCAATTGTGACCGTCTTTTTTTGGGGATTTTCCAATTTTCACTTATTTGGGGTTTCGATTGTGTTTTTCAGCTTGATTTGTTGAATTTTGGGTCTTGAACTTCACTTTGAGCTTGTGAGCGGACGGTTCAAAAATGGGTTGTTTTTGTTTGGTGGATTGATGGGTTAAAAATGATACCTTTTGAGGTCAAGTTTTTAATTGATAAGGAATTTAGCTTGGATTATTAAATTTGTGCACTGTATTTGTTTGATTCACTATTTCTTTATCAGCCTCGTTGTTTTTGGGGATTGATTTATGTTTAATAAAAGTGATGTCATATGTGCAAAGTTTTCAGATCAGTTTCCAGTGATTTTTTTTCTCAGTGGTATTGAATTGATGTGGTGAGATTTATAAGGGGACTTTTGGTTAGTTGGTTTTGTTAGATTGCTGTTTTTGCATGGAAACTTTAGTTAATTTTATCAAAGCTTGAGTCTAAAATGTATATGTATTTTTGACGTTTGATCCTTTTGGCTTTGATATGTCATCTTATATTATACATGATATTGAAATAAATTGTGAAGTTCTTGATCAGTTTGATTCTTATTTTGCTTCTTTTAGCTGATTGCATGGTAAAATTGTGTTCTATGCTGTGTAAAAACTGAACTGTTTTTTTTAAAGAATTTCTGTTATGTATCTTGCAGGATTTCGTGACTGGTGATGCTAAGTTGTTTCATTTGGATTGCTAAAACTTCATCAGTGGAGTTCTTGGAATGTTGACACCTTAACTAACATGAGCCAGGTTGAAGTATCGAGGATGAAGCCACCTCTTGTTCCACTTGCGACCTTAATTGGCCGGGAACTGAGGAATGAGAAAGTCGAGAAGCCTTTTGTGAAGTTTGGACAGGCTGCTTTGGCCAAAAAAGGAGAAGATTACTTTCTGATTAAACCTGATTGTGAGAGGGTTTCTGGGAATCCATCAACATCTTTTTCAGTATTCGCGGTACTTTCTTCCTTCTACCCTCCCCTTTCCCTCTCTCTATCTCAAACATGAAGGATGATGGCTTATCAGCTTAAATAGCACGTGATGGATTCCTCTTGTTTGGTTATGAAGTAATGAAGAATTAAAAAGAAAGATAATACAAATCATATAATGTGGGAAAAAGGAGATTTAGAGATTCGCTGACTACGAGAATGTATGTTCTTGTTTGATTTGTATGCATAAAAATTAGTATCAAAATCTTTTCTCTCTTACTGATAAACTTGAGCATGATAAATGTGGCATTACTTTTGATGCTTGTGTCGATTTCTAATATTGGTTTTATTCACAGATTTTTGATGGGCATAATGGTATATCAGCTGCCATTTTTGCCAAGGAGAACTTATTGGGTAATGTCTTGAGTGCAATTCCACAAGGTGCCAATAGGGAGGAGTGGCTTCAAGCCCTTCCCCGGGCTCTGGTTGCAGGTTTTGTGAAAACAGACATCGAATTTCAGCAGAAAGGCATGTATTCATCTCTATTTCATCGCACCTTTTTCTCTCTCAGTCAAATTATGTTGCATGCTTATCTTTGTAGTCATTTATATTGATGACAGGGGAAACTTCTGGGACAACAGTTACGTTTGTTGTGATTGATGGATGGACTGTCACTGTTGCATCTGTTGGCGATTCTAGATGTATATTGGACACCCAAGGGGGTATAGTTTCTCTCCTGACAGTAGATCACAGGCTAGAAGAGAATGAAGAAGAAAGGGAGCGTGTCACTGCCAGTGGGGGTGAAGTTGGGAGACTTAATGTTTTCGGGGGCAATGAGGTATTTCACCCTTACAACAAGAAAAGTATTCATCCTTTTGTCTTGTTCTTGTTTGAGTTGGTGGAATTAGAGGTGGCGGAATGGGGTTGTTTGTGAAAGGTATTAATAGTTGTTATCATTATGGGTTGAATCTCTGTAGGTTGGTCCCCTTCGTTGCTGGCCTGGTGGATTATGCCTTTCTAGGTCAATTGGTGACACAGATGTTGGGGAGTTTATTGTACCAATACCGCATGTTAAGCAAGTGAAGGTTACATCTTCGTATTTTATTGCCGATGATTTATTAATTTTCTTCTGAGCATTGGAACCCTGAATCTGAAACTTCTTTTCTGTTTTGTCCTAGTTGTCAAATGCTGGAGGACGACTTATTATTGCTTCAGATGGTATTTGGGATGCTTTGTCTTCAGACATGGCTGCCAAGTCTTGTCGGGGACTACCAGCAGAGCTTGCAGCAAAGCTGGTTGTTAAGGTGATATCCAGAACAGCGCTTTCTCATTATGGTATCCATTCAATTAACCTTCATATTAATTATTTCTTTTAATACTACTTTTAGGAAGCTTTGAGGTCAAGGGGCCTGAAGGATGATACAACATGCCTGGTTGTCGATATTATTCCTTCTGACGTGCCTGTCCTACCTTCAACACCTATGAAAAAGCAGAATGTGCTCAGTTCTTTACTTTTCGGGAAGAGATCTCTAAATTCTACAAACAAAACTACAAGTAAACTCTCTGCTGTTGGAGTTGTTGAAGAGCTATTTGAGGAGGGTTCTGCAATGCTTGCTGAAAGGTTTGTACGTTGGAACTTTACTGTGTCTTAATTTATCTTTTAATTTCACCTTTTTCTTTATAATAAGCATGTGGGGGAGGAGCGTTTCTTGTCTTCGGAAAAATCGCGGAAGTTACTAATGCAATGCTGGTCATGTGTATTCCCATGAGTAGATTTTATGTTTGAATTTGCAACCAATCAGTCTAGTTCTTTCATAATGTCGAATTTGCAAGGCAAAAGAAGCTGTGATTGTTTGCAAGATGACGTTTCACTTAAGTTGTTTGGATACATTTATTATCCTGGAGCAAGGATTACCAGGTTTTATATTAGACCAACAGTCTCTAACCCCATTGATTTCATAATAAAAATTTGCAGGTTAGGTAAGGATTTTCCCACAAATACAAACTCGGGAATCTTCAAATGTGCTGTCTGTCAAGTCGATCAACCTCCGGCAGAGGGTTTAACTGTGAACTCCGGGCCATTTTTCTCACCTGCTTCAAAGCCCTGGGAAGGACCCTTTCTCTGCACAAACTGTCGGAAAAAGAAAGATGCCATGGAAGGAAAAAGGACAAGCAAACCCACGGTGATCGCATAAACATCTCTTCCGGTAACAAAGTAAATATGATGTATTTTCCCCCCTGGCAGTGTGAACATCCTTTGTTTCCCATTTTACCTGGTGATTGCAGTAGATGATCCGAGTTAGAGATGATGAGGTAGGGTGTTTTGCCATTATTGTTTTTGTGAGTTTACATTTGTGCTCGGCTATATCACGGACCAACTCGGGACGAAGATGGTGTCTGATAGATATTTGTGATCATAGTTTGAATTGCTAACCGCTTGAATTTGTAATTAAAAGTGAAGAATGCAAGTAGTGTGTATGTATTTTATTCCTTTCTGCATTAGACTTGATTGTGCATTGGCCAACCATTAGAACTTGATTGGTGCAACTGAGCTGTTCTTAATAATCTTGTAGCTTTCATTGATGGTGTAAGTTTGGACCCGCAAATTGACAAAGAGGAAATTCTAGGGTAAATTATCCATCGGTCCCCAAATTATTGGGGTTGTTCTATTTTGGTTGCCAAACTAAAGATCTTGTTGTAATTTAGTTACTATTTGTTAAACTCGTAACTAAGTATTTCACGAGTCAAATTTTCATTTGGTATAATTATGTGTTTAGTCATCAACACTTGTAAATTCTATTAATTTGATCCAAAATTTAAATAATTCAACAAATTTACCCCACTTTACTGAACTTTTCAACTCAGCTCCCCACATTTACATTTTCAGTCAAAATTCAAAAAATTATAACTATAAAAAATCAATTTGGTCCTTCATTTTTTTAATTTTTTTATAATTATTAATTTTTTTGAAGTTTTGGGATCAAGATCAAATTGGTAGACATTGTAACCATGGAGGATTAAACTTGTAGGTGCGATGCCTAAAATTGTTGAGTTATTAAAATTATGGTCAAATTGATAGGATATGCAAGTGTTGATGACTAAGTGCAGTTATACAAAATAGTTTAATGGACAATAACTAAATTGAAACCAAATTATAATGCCGGTGACTAAATTTGTAAGACTTTTAGTTTGATGATAAAAAAAGAGAATACCCAAAAGTTTGATGGCTAATGGGATGATTTTCCCAAAATTATATTATAAGTCGTAAATTTCATCTTCTACTCTACAATGTTAAAGAAGTTTTTTTTTTTTACTTTAATTCATTAGAATTTTGATATCAAAATTTGAGAAATTAATTTAATTGGATAATTTTATTAATCTTTACAAACAAAATGTTGATCTGGAAATTAATACTTCAATAATTTATCCGTAAGTAAATTGTAAAAATAAATTGTTCAAGTTCATAAATTTATCAATAATTTAATTATTTTCGAAATTTTAAATAGTATAAAATTCAAAATTTGGCATTATTTTTTTATTAAAAAAAATTCAGTAGAAGAATAAGGAAATTTATTCATCGATATCACAAGGAAAATCTAGCAACCAAAGCCACAACGTAACAATCACAGTTGCACATCACACACAAACATAAAAGAAAAAACAAGATATTGCGGTTGCGGTTACATTTTTTGTTGCATTGTGTTTATCGTGATTGTACACATAACGGGTGCTATTACGGTAATTATGGATATTACGGTCGTGAAATAACGGTTTTAAGACGTCATTAAAATCACTATATAACAATCGTTATTCCAATAGCGGATTGCTATTTAAATCTCTGCTAAAGAGATTATTCAGAAAGGAGGAAGCCATTGCAGCTCAATGCCAAAGTTCCACGACTCAATGCTATCATCATCAGCCTGTTTATCGACCACACAAGTATACGCGGTGCACCCGCCGACCCGTACCCTTATCCGATGCGAAGTCATCGACGAATCCTTCAAAAAATGGCAACAAAGTGTCCCCCTGCACCCACACCCTTCCCCGGACTCCTCGAACTCCCTACAAAAACTACTCGAAGAACAATTCAACGGAGACAAGAGAATGTTATCGGAGCAATTAAACAACATGACCGTGTTACTTTTCGATATGTTGAAAGGCAAGCTCTCGTCGAGCGACAGGCCCCCTTGATCGAGATCAGACGAGTAACAAGTGTCTAGGTCAATCGAAGGAGGCTTTATAACAAGCTTATTAGCCTTGGGGTCAACACTGAGGATCTTGTGGAACGAACCTTGAGCCGACATGAACTCGAGGACGTCTTCGTTGCAGTAGATTCTGTACCTCGGATCACCACAGTTTTCGTCGGTGCTGAGTGGATATGGTACCTTTGTCTTGCTGCATTTGGGACATAGGCGATAAGCTGACACTTGGGTTACTAAAATGAACAAGAAAACCATGGCATGCACCATTTTTAGGGTTTTCGACAGCTTAGAAATTACAGGTAAAATAAACCAAATTTTGTTCTGAGCAATGGAAGAGGCTGGACACACAATGATCAATTTATAGACAAATTATGGCACCCAAAGCTGCACATAAAAGCAAAACATAAAATAGTGCATCTCATTCTTTTAGTGCATTATAAGCCAATCGGAGCTTCAAACGCCTCCATATATGTACTATATTTGGAAGACAAATATATTAATGTATTGAGCTCCTATAGGGAGTAACTGCTTATCATTATTTTAGAAAAAAAATTACTTAATTTAATTTAATATATCAAGGGAAAAAGAAATTTATATACTCATTTTTGAAAAGAAAATTAAAATTTTAGACCATAATTTTTATTTTTTTTGAATTAATCACTCATATCTGATCTATTGATCGACTAGTCCAATTCGGATACTGGAGAAGCAAGGGCAACCCTACCAACCCAGTTTATTCTATTAGCAAATGTCAGGATTCGAACCCCTGATCTTGCTTAAGGGACCTAGTGCCTCATCCCATTAGACCAACTTGTTGTTGGTATAATTTTTAAATCCACCTCTGGATACCATTAAAAGGAAAAAGGGGAATTGGCTTGTCGATACAATTCAAACAATTAGAAAACATGTATGCAAGGAAAGAAAAAAACCCGTATGTAGGTAGGGATAGATCTAGAGAGGGGCGGGTGGTGATGATCGTCCTCCTAAAACTTTTAAATTCTTATATATCATTCTTAAAGACATTTCACAAAACACATACCATCAATAGTTCATCAAACACTTTTTGACAAGTAGAGAACATGAGAATAAAAAAAATGTCTCCAATAGTTGGGGTAAGTTTTTATGCACGGGATGAATACAAGGTAGTGTTTGTTCATAGACTCTCAATCATTTGACATTAAACGTTCATACACTCCTACATATGTAATGCTAGAATTTGATACCTAAAAAAATAACAATCATTTTTTAACCACTAAGATCGTTTGATTCGTGGTAATAATAATAAACTTTTATATTTAAATCAAGATAATTTTTTTACATAATATGTTATTTTCACAATCATTCACGCCGTTGATTAAGAATCTCTTCAAAAAACAAATATGAGATGTCATTAAATAATGGATACCTAAACCACTAAAATAAACTATAAAACTATATCAGTTGCCAATACGTATGCAATATTTTATGTTAGGGGTGATTTTTTAAAGTTTTAAGAATTATAAATAGATATAAATAAAAAATAAAATATATGATAATTTTAAATGTTGAGAAGGGACGACTATCCTCAGTCGGGACCCTTAATTCATCCTCGAAAACCAGCATGATGAAAAATAATTAATTAATGAAAAAAGTGATTTCCTTTTTGAGTGCATTATCAACCAACTGGTGCTCAATAATATATAAACCTAAGTGTGACTTGCATGAACTTTGAATCTGATTTGCCATATATACACGTTAGAAGTCAAGTAAAAGAGTCCATCAAACAATTCGATGATTAAAAATAATATTATTCTCTTTAAAAGTCTCAGATTCGAGCAGTTACATAATGTATATGATTTTGTACATTTCATGTATCATCTATGTATATATTCTTTTTGTATTTGAAATTATTAAAAATCGAAAAATTGAAAATTCCTTGTTTGATGTAAAAGAAAATGTAAATGTAAAGATTTGGAAGGATCAATGGATAAAGTAATTTAAGGTAATCCATGTAGGAATATGAGTAATAAAATACGAAATTGGTATACTAACACAAGGATCCTACTTTCCATGTTTAGGAATTGTATATGGGACCAATTGCCCCGTGAGGGAGTGGGTGTGCCCTATTTTAATAATCCAAACCTTATTTATATAGCTTTTGAATGACATCCCATTACATGATAAGGGTTGAGACATGTTAAAAAGAGTTTTTATTAAATTTTTAAAGTCGGATTGAGATTAAATTTAAATGAAATTCACCCTATCATATTTTGATATATTTATGAAAATGTTTTTTTTTAATTTTATAATTACTTCTATATGATATATTAATAGTGATTATAAGAAAGTATATGTTTCATTTGATAATCAAAGTTTAAACATCATTGCAGTCTCTGATACTCGAATTTGAGACCTCTAGTCTAACTTTTATATTGAAATTATAATATGATAATCCCTAAGAATAGTATAGCAAGACCATTACAAGACTAATCACAATTCAAAGTCAAACCCCATATTTTTCTTGGTTTATCTTTCTAATGCTTTCTATAATAATAATAATATATAATCATTAATCATATTTTCGGTAAAATAAAGTAAAAGAAGAATGCTTTTTTTATATATTAATCTAGGGTAATTATAAGTAGTAATATTTGTTCTAAAGCCTCTTAATTATTCGACAATGAAAGCTCAAATAACATACAGTTGTTGGTGCTTGAACTAGAGACTTTTAGGGATAACAACCATCCATTTAACCACCGAGAACGTTTGATTCTTGCAGAAGAATGGGATTTTTTTATATGAATCACGAATAATTTTGTTTATTTAGGTATAAGTAAAAATTAATTCAATTAAGTCGAATAAGATTAGAGACAGATATATGATTTAAATTTAATGGATTTTGATTGAGTTGTACAAGGTCAAACTTTTTTTTTAATACAAATTTAGGTTAGAGTCCGTAAAGTTTTCTAAAAGATAGAAACATGTCAGTTTCATGTTTATGGTGAGAAATTTTCGATACGAAAATAATAATATAATTGATCTTTATATATTTAGAAATAATTTTTATAATACTTTTTTGTCAATAAATTTGATGAGACCCATAACCATTCAAAAATAAAGTCACAATAATAACAACAATAATAATAATAATAATAATAATAATATTAATACAACTTTTAATCAAAAAGCCATTGAAGGCACTAGTGATACACATTGCATCATTGCAGGTGTCATTCAACATCATTCCCATATAGAATATTAGTATCCAAAATATAATGGTATGTAGAAACATTAAAATTAGCCAAAACGGCCACGTTTACCGCCCAAACCACTCAGCTTCATTACAAGCCAAAATGTAAATAAAATAAATACCACACCACCTTCACAACAACGTCAAATCGGTTGAGCTTCTCAACACAATGTCCTTTGCTTTGCATCAAGTTTCCTTAATAATGGACTATGGATAATTATCGAGCGAGTTGATTTCGAGTTAAATAATATTTTATTTATGTTCGTTAAAATATTTTGTTGTTTAATTTGACTCGTTGTTCGTTAAGCTTATTAAAATTTTGTTAGACTCATGCCCGTTAAAAAAAAACTTGTTGCTCTACTCTACTCGTTGCTTGTCAAACTCGCTGAAATTTTCATTTTTTTAACTATAGGTAAAATCTATTAATATTATACAGAGTTTAATATAAGCATAAATTAACAAATTTAACCAAAAAAATTATTAAAAGATCGTATGAAGCAATTTCAAAATCTAAACTTCAAAGTAACAATCCACAACTATTAAAAATTATTTTTAAAAAATAATGAGCTGCTCGCGAACTAATTGAGTCAAATTGGACTTTAATCGACTCAACTCGTTAAGGTCTTGAGTTCGAGTCGAGTCAACCTGAGTCGAGCTTTGACCAAACTTTGACCGAATCGAGTTCGAAATGCTCAATTCATTAAGCACCCCTATAATAGACTCTTAAGAATAAATAAAGTATGAATAAAAAAAGAATAAATAAAGTAGATGGTCCCTGTTTTTTAACTTAATGATATATGAGGTCTCAATTTTTCTAAAAGAAATCAATGTGACCCTTATATAATCATACTCACGTCATTTAGACTAAAAGATAAGAGAAACATATACAATCATCTTTGTAACTAAATCACTTTAAATACCTTTTCATATTCATGATTTAATCATATCTCATTCATTAAGGTATATAAGTATGTCAAATATATATATATATATATATATATATATATATATATATATAGTTATTTCGATACATAATTCATATTTCACCCATATTATATAGGCACACGAGCATATTTTCATATTGAGAGTGTTCAAAACATATCCCTTAACGCAAACATTATACGGTAACACTATTAACCTATCACATATTATATATATATATATGTAACATATAAGTGCAAAAATAAATTATACATATTCATATAGTCGAACTAGCAAAGCTAACATACTTTTAATTCCATATACATATCAATAATCACTACATATATCATACATCGGTCATGTACACATACTAAACATACTTTCATTATCATACATTCATTGGTTTGAAGTGGTTTATACCCAAACAAGACATTACATACAATACTGTATATATTTCAAAATGGTAGAAATGTCATTTCCACCATTTTTTTTATACATTTATCATAGATAACGTTACTCGTGAAATAATGATTTTCTTATTTATATCATTTGATACATACTTTGAATTAGATATTTAATTACTTAAAATATAAATTTGTTAAATATTTTTATTTTATATTAATATAATATCTAAGTTTTACATATATTTAAATAATAATTTAATATTTTTTTTTATTAATATTTGTTTCACACTTTTAAATTTTTATTTTTTTTCTAATGAATCTGTACACATTTACGTACGTTGGTTTTATTTTTTAAAATATTCTGGTTATTGTAAAAGTCTGATTTAAAATGAAATGAATCTGTAAAAGTCTTATTTACAGTATTTCTAAGGGTGCGCTTGGATCACAAAATGTAAGATTACCAATGGAATAAAAGATTATTAGGGAATATTGTATTTTATGTTTGGTTGGTTTAGTAGAAATGTAAGATTATCGTGTTTGGTTAAAGGAATAAAAAATTATTGAAATGTATAATTTACCAAATTGTCCTTATTATATATTTGTTTTTTAAAAAAGTTGAATTCTACTATAATATTACTATAATTAATTTATATATTTTCTTTAAAATTTTTAAATTCATAAAATTTATATAATTTTTTTTTACAAAATTGAAAAGATAAATAGGTTTAATGAAATGGTAAAATTTTATTTTAACCCTTGAACTTCATATAAAATTATAATTATGGTCTTTTTTTTGTAAATCTAAAATAATTTAAGAATAAATTTGTAATTTAACATTCGTAGAATTTTTATTATTCAATAACAGGAGAAGGATAATTTTGAGAAAAAAAATTAAGGGCATTTTAATCCAAAACGCCGATAATCCAACAATGCTTAAGGGAAGGGGTAATCACATTCCCAGTAATATACCCAAAAAATCTACTGTTGGTAATAAAAGATTACCGGCCAACCAAAGGGGGAAGGAGGATTTCATTCCCCCGGTAATGTTATATGCCGTGAACCAAACCGTCCCTAAAGGCTATCATTGCAGAAATAAAGTTGGTCCCCAACTCCCAGTATAGCAATTGACATTATTGACTTAGCAAACTAAATGTGATGCACCATGTGTTTGATCATAAGGGAGCACTGACAGTGCAGCCAAAATAACGGATGAAGCTATCAGCTGCAAATCTTTCTGGCTTAGGTTTTTATTGAAGCTTTTTTGAATTGTAAATAGCTTCAACCATGAATAACCATGATAAAGATGGCTGCCTGAAATCCAGAATATTTTGGTTAACTTGGCATAATAAACCACCATCAAGGAAGCCTTGGGAGTATTCTTGACAATGGACATCAATCCATGAATATCTTCAACAGAACGAAAAGCTTCCTGCCAATGAAACATGTTAAGTAATAATCATAAACACGAACAAAAGCTAGATATAAAAATTATCATTAAAAAGGCAAAAAACACTTGACAAAGCAAACAACCAACCTGCCAGAGTCCAAGTTCGGTAGCCATCTTTAGCTGCTCAAATCTTGTGTCAAGATAAAGTTGCAAACTCTGGTGCTGACAGGTCAGGCCTGTCCCTCTGGTCTTTATATTTATTTAGATTAGCTCAGGCCTGTCCCTCTGGTCTTTATATTTATTTAGATTAGCTAAATGATTTCGTATAATCTCACACAACCTTCGGAACTCTGTTGTCCGTTTATACTGCTTGCAAAACTGGAAGGCCCTACGCGCAGTCATCTACAAGATGTTCAAAATATGGAAACATTGTCATTTCAAATCAATGCGTAACCAAGATAGTATTGTTATATCTTATATTTAATTTATTAATGAAATTTTAACTAACAAAATTCCCTATGTAAAGTGCAGTAGGCATGTACCATAAATGTTTAAAGCGTATATGCTCTGACATGTCTTGTAAATATGTTTATTTAGTTTTGTTTTCATAATAGCTTCAACCATGAATAACCATGATAAAGATGGCTGCCTGAAATCCAGAATATTTGGTTAACTTGGCATAATAAACCACCATCAAGGAAGCCTTGGGATATTCTTGACATGGACATCAATCCATGAATCTCAACAGAACGAAAAGCTTCCTGCCAATGAAACATGTTAAGTAATAATCATAAACACGAACAAAAGCTAGATATAAAAATTATCATTAAAAAGGCAAAAAACACTTGACAAAGCAAACAACCAACCTGCCAGAGTCCAAGTTCGGTAGCCATCTTTAGCTGCTCAAATCTTGTGTCAAGATAAAGTTGCAAACTCTCTGGTGCTGACAGGTCAGGCCTGTCCCTCTGGTCTTTATATTTATTTAGATTAGCTAAATGATTTCGTATAATCTCACACAACCTTCGGAACTCTGTTGTCCGTTTATACTGCTTGCAAAACTGGAAGGCCCTACGCGCAGTCATCTACAAGATGGAAACATTGTCATTTCAAATCAATGCGTAACCAAGATAGTATTTGTTATATATCTTTATATTTAATTTATTAATGAAATTTTTAACTAACAAAATTCACCTATTGTAAAGTGCAGTAGGCATGTACCATAAATGTTTAAAGCGTATATGCTCTGACATGTCTTGTAAATATGTTTTATTTAGTTTTGTTTTCATTTTCAAGTGTTAGTTGCATTTTAAAAGAGTCCAAGCGTTTAAAAAATCAATGTGACATCTCAGATTCGTATCTGGGTCAGATACGGGTCGGGGGTGTTACATACACGCTAAGATAAGAGGAACTAAAGCATGATTGTTCGTTTTTTATAAGCCTAAAATGCACTAACAAATAAAAATGAAAAAATTACAAGATCAGGCTAACAAGATTAAAATAAAATCAAAACAATCACTGCAGGTGACCAAAATGCAAAAATATAGAAGAGTTAGATGGATTACAATGCGATTCTACCAATTATTTATTTCAACCAACATTATTGAAATAAAAGCTAAAATCACACAATAGGGACAAAAGTTTTGAAACTAAAATATAAAAACACAAGGCTAGAGACTAAAATGTAAAAATGCGGCAACAGTTTGGGGACCTATAAGAGATTTACCCCTAAACTTCTACTATAAAAGCCATCTTTTTTTCCTGATTCATTTCTAACCTTAGCCCCTAAAAAAATTTCAAACTCTCTCAACCCTCTCTCCCTATTATCTCGATTGACACCCCAAATTAAGGCCATCGACGCTGCCTGCCGTCCTCAACGGTGGCCGGATGACCACCAATCAAACCCAAAACACCCTATACACCCCGATCTACTCATCTAAACCAAAATCGAAACCTATAACCACAAAAAAACAACCCCTAAACGCTCCCAGAAAAACCTCAACCCCTCGGCTTCCTTACTCCAACCACCGCGACGATGAACTGACCCTTCGGTTTCGACTACCCCTCTCAGGTAAACTCTTTCAATTTCCTTTTTTTATTTCAAAACTTACTGAAAAAACAAAAAAGAAAACGTTTTTACCTTGAAATTTTTTTATTGCTTCTTGTGAGAATGAGGGAAAAAGATCCCTTTTACATATTTCGAGTGGTCTTTTTATAGACCCACCCTTCTCATTTTTACAACAAAAATGCCATCTAACCTACTTGCTTTCTGATATTCACCATTTTCCTATGCATGGTGGTTGGCGAGGCTCGTATTGAGATTTGATTCGGCTCGGCTTGGTGGCTCCGACGATCGACGTGGCTGGAATATGCTGGAATCGACGACGGCGTAGGCTTGGTGACGGCGATAGCGACTACCAAACATTTAGGGTTAATGATGAAGCCCTAATACTGCAGCTGATCCGGACCATCAGATTAGATCTGATCCAATGGTTGTGGCTTTTGGTGGTTGAAGAGAAAAACAAAAAACCCAAGTCCAAGTGGGCCTTTTTTGTGGGCTTTGGGTGTTGGGTACTTTGATTTCTTTTGGGGTTGGATTTTATATGTTGAGCCTGGGTTTGTAATAAATAAATAAATAAATAATAATAATAATATAACATTTGAAAAATGGTGACTACATAAAGTAAAGGGGGAAGTACGAGAAGGTTGGGGGGATGAGTTTAAGTGTATCCAAGGATTGAAGAATTAAACAATAAAATGCTATAAGCTAAAGGGATTATATTATCACATTTCCCTTGCGAGTTTATTTTTCCAACAAGTATCCACTACTTAAGCAATATGAAGGGCTAAGATGGTGACAATGGATTTTACTTGCCCTTACATGTTTTAAAAATGAGTGTTTGCGTCTAAACTACAGTAAATATCTATAAATTAATATATCGGGATAATGCAATTTTATTAATTTAAAGAGGTATTAATTAATCAATAAATTAATAATTTATTAATTTAAAGAGATTTTTCTAATTTAACGGACCTACATTATTCCTCATGAACAAAACATATACATTGTATTGACTAATTGAATGATGTTCATGTACAATGTGACTAATTAAATATGATACATACCCCTAAAAAATAAAGTTCATTGTAACGTAATACTAGTTAAAACTTAATGCAAATTCATGTATGATAAGGAAATCAACAACTATATAAACAACATCAAACATTTCTAATTAGTCTATCCAAATCAAAACCAACCAATCAGACTTCACTAAAAGAGTCCAAAAATCAACCATGACATATCAATTACGTAAAGCACTATGTGAGTATAAGAGAGATCACCTCACATGCTTCTTCAATTTAATATGTAAACTGATTTGAGTCTTCCCAACTGCTTCTTCAATTCAATTTATTTTCCTTCAATAAGATGGTGTCACGTGTTACCATCTGATTGGAAGAAAAAATATTAAATTAAATTAAGAAAGGGTCTCCAGTGATGTCATGACACATGTCATCATTAACACATGTCGTCGTATGATAGGAGAATTAAATATAGTAAATTAATTTAAAATTATGACCAATTTGATAAAATTGTGTAGTAATGAGGACTAAATATATAATTAAATCAATCTTGTTAACTGCCAACTCAGCACCAATGGTTGCATGGGCCTTTGTGGGAATATGGACACAAGGTAGACTAGTGGATCAAAGAAAGAAAAGTAATAAAGATTAAATATAACAAAGATATCTAAGACATAAAAAAAAATCGATTAAATTAATTGAATTTATCTCGCTTCATTTAGTTGTTTTCATATATAATTCAATATAATGTACAATTAAATACTTTAAATTTTAATTAATTTTATCTTTAATAATTAAATTGACCATTAAATACTCATAGGAAAACTTTTGGAAACACTAAAATTGGGTAAGAGGGCATGATGGAGAAAAGAATGATAAACAGGTAAAGTTTACTCCAAGAGTTAAATTTGTTATTTCAACAAATTGCTGATAATGTAAACATATTTAGAACAGATGATTAAAGTTTTTAGTTGACATATTTGTTTCATTTAAGTTATGGGTTTAATATCATTAAGAGCAGTGGTGGGTTTAGAAAAAAATTTGAGCGTGAACACGCATATATTAATAATAATTTTTTTTTTGTTTCTGAGTGGATACGATACAATTTTTGAGTGGGCACACATATATTAACCAGAAAAAAATTCAAGTTTTGAAGAAGAAATTCAAAATTTCAAGAATTTCATGGTGGACACCTATCCACCCTGAGGACAACATATATCCGCCACTGATTAGGAGTAAAATTTTCTTTGCTCTTACTACAATAAATTGTTCAATAAAAAAAATTTATTAACAATATCATCTCCATAACGTAAATGAATAATTTCAAAACTTAAAATAGGAAGGTAAATTTTACATCAAAGCTAAGTATATTTTAGCCTTAACTTCAATACCAAAAGAGAACATAAGAAGAGAGGAAATCCAGACTATAAATATTTATATTATCTTTTCCTTTTCCTTCCTTATGTATTAATAAGGGATTAAATTTCCACTCTCCATAGATTAGTCAGCTTCTCTTTTCCCTAATGACTGAATATTTATCCTCAAATCCCAGGAGCTCTCTTTTTAAACTCAATCATGTACATCTCTTCTGCACTTTCTTCTTCTTCTTCATGGCAGGAAAAATCAATGAAAAAAATGGGGATTTTGTGCCACCAAAATCACACTTATCACATGTTGTCACCATCACCCTCCTTCAACCAACCGTTAGGATCAAGGTTCCAAGGGTGTTCGTTAAGGCCATGCAGAATGGAAGAAACCAAACCAGGGTGAAAATGGTGGCAACAACATGAACAAACACTGCGATACATCCAGGAAGAGTATCGGGAGGAAGGTCGGTTCGATGTTTTCTAGAGTCTTCGGTCCACATAAGGCCGAGTTAAAGAACATGCCTAAAAGAATTGACGTTGAATGTGATTCGGTGTTGCTTGCGGTGTTAAGGGTGAAAAAGGTGGGAAGAATTATACTGCCATGGGAACAAAGAGGATTGTCTGCAAAAAAATTGCGGGGAAATTCAGTTGTCCGGGAAGCTTTGGATTGAGAACGAGGAGCAACGGCCATGGAAGGATGCTTAAGAGTGGATGGTGGATGAAGATGGGGAGAAAAATAGAGAAACCAGAGCTTTGCAATAATGAGGATACTGATGGGAAAGAAGTGCAGGCCTCTTGAGTGATTTTCTGCCATAATTAGTAACCGTCATCTTCATGGTAACCTTGTAATCACCAATTGTTCATCGGGAAAGAGTTCTTTTTTTATATTTTAAATTTTCATAAAAATTAAAAGATAAAATACACAAATGAACTCCTAACTATAGTATATCGCTTTATTGAGTCTCGACTATTAAAAGTTACAAAATGATTCCTGACTATAGAGAGCTATTTTGTTGAATCTCTCGACTATTAAAAGTTATAAAAAATGTCATATGACTGTTTATTATATTCTAAACTCGTCCTTTACTCTTAAAACATTAGCGAAAATCTAAACTAAATGTTAATCAACCGACTGAGATATGATAAAATCTAATCTCATAATTTCAAACGACTATTAGATCTCAATCATCATGTTAACATCTAACTTAGAAGATTGTTAATTTTCTAACATAGAAGAAAGAGTTTGAAACACAATTAATAGTCCGTAACCATTTTGTAACTTTTAATTGAGAGACTCAACAAAACAACTCCAGTCGAGAAACCATTTCGTAACTATTAAGCCAAAATAAAATTGAGTTTATTAGGAAAAATATTATGAATTCCCAAAAACACAAGGTTAAGTACAAGTAAGAAAGCTATCTCAGTCAAGTAATGAGGATTATACAAGAAGGGGCATTAATTCATACATAATAATCTAGGGCTGCAATGGTACACATGGAAGACTTCAAAATAAGAACCTAATACATTTGTTACAATACATAGACTTTTTCAATACTGTAAAAAAGCGCATCTCATCTTTGTACCTGATCGGGTGTGTGATTGCTTGTGGTAGATGACGATGTTGTTCTACCATTTGCCACACCGTTATCTGCTGGCGGACTCACTCCCCATTTCCCTTCAGATTCGGATGGCTCCATCACTTTCACAGATCCGTCACTCAAACCTATTGCGAATTGGTTTGGTTCCATAGGGTGTGCAGCGACGACAAGCGGGTATACAGCTTGGTTTCTGTTAAACAAAGCAGATTAACAGTCCGGTTATAGATAATCCGGATGATATCTGCATTGCATGGAATAAAGCCGCAGATAATTTACCCTTTCAAGATTGCTGGTGACAAGTAAACTGATGAGGCGATACGACATCTAAGTTTCAGGCTGTCAGCATCGAACACCCCGATATTACCGTCACAAAAGGTAGCATAAACGGATTGGCTGTTACAAGAATATGTTGCATAAGATATGGGCGCAGGTAGTCCATCTTGTGGAATCCACTGCAGCAAATGAAATGGCATTAGACAGTGTTCCCTCTATGTAAAAAGAAATAGCAAATCATCGAAGCCCATGCGACTTTTCGAGTTTCCTACCTGTCGGATGCGCTCCATTTTGGAGGCATCATATATTGCTAGCTGTGTTTCATGAACGACCAGCATGCGAATTTGATCGGAGTGAAATTGAACTCGAGTGTCACCTGTAGGTGCCTTTCCAGTTGGGATTTGGATTGCAACCGATTTCCTTTTCTCCCATGTATCAATGCTCCACACACACAGCTACAGAGAAAAGAGAGAAACAAGATGTTAACAAGTAATAATATAACTAAAGAAGACCTGAAAATAGTTAATGAAAGAATTTGTAATATATATCAGAGATGCTGGAACCTGAACAATACCAAGGAAATTAACTCAAAAAATTAACTGAAAACATCTGTTGACCTTTTCTATTTTTTTTTATGATTACCGGAAAATTTATAGCTTTCAAAACCCATAGGGATACTACTTACATGAGCATCAGCACCTGATGAAACCAAGATACCGAGGTTGGTCGAGAAAGCCAAACCAGTTATCTGTTTTTGATGGCCTTTCAATTTTGATTTCACCTAAAAAAAAAAGGGTTAAAACAGATTGGCATCAGAACCGCTTGAGAGAGCAGGATAACTAAATATATGGGGAAGTAAGAACAAATAAGAAGTCTCACCTCATCTACTCGAACATTGTAAATATGGATAGTTGAATCCTCCATTCCGATCGCTATGATATTATTGTCCTGAGGATGGAATGCCAGGAAGGTTGAGGCTGGAGGAGGAGACATAAATGTCGTCATTACCTGCAAATCACGCGTTTATTAGCATGCCAATCGTAAAATGCATTCAATAAGTATGAGGATGTGAGAGTTAAAGGTGTTTGTTGTAATGGTGTATAGCACCATAGGAGGATATTCAATGTTTTCTTATGTATTGGGTATTATTATTAATAAACTATGAGGTACTCTTTTCTTCCTTCCAATGTTCATTAACATACTTCTTAGTATGTGGACGAATACGAAAGGAGTTTTAATGAGACCTCCAACTTCTATAAAAAAAAATACACAAGCAAATGAAGGCACACCTTGAAAGTCATCATGTTAAACAAAGAAACTTTTCCACCAGTGGCTGACATCACATATGAATCATTCTTCGAGAGTGCTATGCATGGTACTGCTTCTTCCAGGTTGACACCTGTGATATCATTAGTCATAAGAAGACCACTGTTTGGTTGCCAATGCTGTGGAGGTACATTGGCAGTGGCCTTTAAAGTTTAAAGGACTTTAGAGTTCTCCTCACCAATGAAAACGACGGAATTTAGAAAGAAACTGTCGGAAGTAAAACAATCTTATTAGAGAAATTATTGTACCGTCCCAGATGGATTCTGGTCACTGCGGGACCACTTCCATAGCTTCTGAACGCCGTTTGACCCAAGTGCCAAAATACCAACAGCAGAATTTGTATACAGAAGCCGGACAACCTTTAAGGAGATGCAATGGTTCAGTGCTATGGTAGAAAAACCGACAGAGAACTGATTATTAGAAGTTCAACAGACCTTGCTGGAGGCATCCATGCTTTCGGGTAAGGTAACCAACCGACATTGAGCAGAATCCGCGATTTCAGCTAATTGCCAGGCTTTAGCCTTGTCTATTGCATCATCCGCAACTCTTGGCTTTTCAACATTTCTTCCCAATGGATCAACTCCATTCTTGAGGGGAAACAATCCAAAACAATAAAGGCAATTGCAAGAACGTCAAAAGCATGAAAAACCTAGGTCTATTTGTAAAATAGACAGCACAGTGGTTCCAGTGGAAATACAAAAATGGTCCTTATTGCATGAAAGAAAATGAAAAGGAGCGACCATAAGCTAAAAAAGGAAGTTGGGCCTTAAATCTAATCTCCTAATGTTCTTATAGTGGTAACTAAGAGCAAGAACAAAAAGTTCATCTCCAAAAAATGAACAATATGGTTACAGCTGCAAGCTCCAACTCCAGTATTCAGAAAAAAAGTTTAAAATGTAACTCAAGGTTTATCCAGCTAACATACAAGTATAGGAGAAGGCCCGACAGGAGAGCTCCTTTCCGCTTTACAACTAACAGGACCGACATTGCCAACTGCAGAAGAGCCAGAAGCCTAACCGACAGAGAAAAACATAAAAACATGCTGGTATTAGTCTTGAATATTCTTAAGGACATATTAAACAAATCTAAACAATCATTACCTTAATTGCAGCAGAAATAATGGGTGTTCTCAGTGGATCGTAAGTTGATGTTTCAGTTGCTCTTAAAGATCTAATACCCACAGCATTTGCAAGTATTTTGAATCCATTGTCAGCTGTAGTCACAGCTAGGAGATTTCCTTCCTTATTGAATTTCACACGGGGAAGACTCTGAAGCAATTAATATGATCGGTTAGATACTCAACCTAGTAGCATATATGTAATATCTTTCACAAAAAGCTATGGGATTCGAATATTTAACTTACAGGGAGTCCACCCTCGGCATCTGTGAAAGTGAGAAGATTGATATTATCCATGTCCCAAAACTTTATCTGGCTATCTTCTCCAGCAGCTAGAAAATGATTTCGTGTTGTGTCAAATGACACCACACCAGCTGATTTCTTTCTGAGCCCCACATAAGTCCTCTTTATTGCTCCTTCACTTTCATTCCACTCAACCAGATGAGATTCTCCATCTTTACTAGTTCCGCAAGAGAACAATCTGAAACAAAACCAGAAATCAGCAAAAGTTCAAACTGGAATGAAATGAATTACATATAAAATTTGACACCAAAGGCTTAAAGGTGTTAAGAGAAAACAAAATTTTGCAATAAACTCAAAATCTTTAAAGGAAGTTCCATCTTAAAACTCATGATCATACCTACTTCCATCAGCACTGTAAAGCATTGTAGTACACCAGTGACCAGGGGCATCATAGTCAACTCTGGAACCCATATTGTCATACAGCCAGGCCTTAATTTTCCCATCGACAGCAGTTGAAAATATAAACTGCAATGGCATAGACGGTTACCACATGGGTACAAATTGGCATCCATACAGAAAAATAAGCATTCAACTCTCAGCCAAAAAAAAACATTTTAACTGGACCAACACAAACTATATGTGACATAAAATATTAGAGTGAATCAAATATAGTGAACCATTGTAGCTCCAAGGGGAAGATCATATGGGGAAAAGTTCTAACTAGGAGTATGGAAACGGTTTTGATAAATCAGGAGCCCTGTGATGGATATTTTTTTTTTTGATAGGAATGGTAGGCCTCGTTAAAACCCCCTTCTTGATTAATGGATCACAATGTGCTCCTTAATCAGCGAAAGGAGGAAAGAGTGCCTAAAAACTTCATTAATAACCTCCAGTTACATAATACTTAAAAACTACCACACAGACTCCTTTAACAACATCCCAAAACAAAGCGAAAAATAACCTGAATCAACCAGAACAATGTATCTATCCAATACCCTCCTTTGCTAGAGTATCAACCTCAACATTGGCTGACCTAGCAACCCATCTAATAATACCATTCAAACCTCTAAACTTATCACCAATATCATTCACTAAGTCAATGTAGACCAAAGGACATCGTTCTTTATTCTTGACCCAATCAACTGCTATTTTACTGTCAGATTCAACGATTAAACGTTCCTTAAAACGTTGTTGAATCGAAGTAAAGTAGGATAATCCCTTCTTGATTGCCAAAAGCTCAATCAAGATAGGAGGACCTGGACCAGCAACCTCTTTGAAAGAACCAACCACCGAACCATCCTCAACTCTAAGAATGCCTCCAACACCACTTTTCCTCCAGTCTGCCGTCATTGCTGCATCCACATTCAACTTTAAAAAGCCCTTTGGAGGGCGTGACCAGGGCACAATTAAGGTAATAGGAGAGCTTGAGTAAGAGCAACTATCCCCAAGTGATGGATCACTAATGAGAGAGTCCTTAGGAATATATACCTCCTCGAAGTTAGCTAAGAACCAAGATGCCAACCTACCTCTCGCCATAAAAAATAAATCAATCTGATCTAACCTCCCCCCATCGAACACAATGGCATTCCTCCACTTCCAAATTGACCATAGAACCACACCCGGAATGAAGGACCAAATTTTAGAATTAGGTACCAAATCATCCCAAGCAAACAAGAAATTTTGAGCATTGGCTTGAAAAGCTGAACAAACTCCCCAGAAATTCAAAAATTTGTTCCATAAAGACCACGCCACAACACAAGTAAAAAATAAATGTGTTGAGGACTCATCCGCCTTGTTACATAAAGGGCAACCAACGTCAACAATTGCTGAAACTCCTCTCCTCTGTAACTCTAGTTTAACTGGCAATCTTTGAAGCACCACTTGCCACATAAATACCTCCACTTTCGGAGGCACCAAACCCCTCCAAACGTACTTCATCCAAAAAGGGTATGCTGTACTTACAGTACAACATGACTTTACACTCGAATTGACAGTATAAACTCCTTCCCCATTCCCTCTCCAGACTAACCCATCAGAACAGTCATGAGAAAGAGTGATATTATGAATTAAAGCCAATAAATCAGAGAATTGAACCAGTTCCCAATCACTTAAATTCCTTCTCAATTGAACATGCCAAGACCAGCCTGCAGACCGAAACTCCCCAAACTCATTCAGCTTCCCATACTTATTTACCGAAAGAACAAACATTCTCGGGAAAACCAGATTTAGAGGGGTATCAAGCGCCCAACAATCATACCAAAATCTGATGCTCCTCCCATCCCCCACTCTAACTTTAAACAAGCTTCGGAACTTTACTCCAAACTGATCCTGTTTGAAGTGATTATTGACCACCGATTTCCATATCCAAGAAGCATATGCTGGTAGTTCCTCATTAAACATCAGAGAATTAGGGTCCAAATTATATTTACAGCAAATAACCTTCTTCCACACTGACTCCCTATCGTTTGCAAATCTCCACAACCATTTCCCTAGGAGAGCTCTATTCACATAACTAACATCCAGAACACCAAGGCCCCCAGCATTCTTTCCAGCGCACACAGTCGACCAATTGACCTAGTGAATTTTTTTTGCCTCCACACCTCCTCCCCATAGAAATCTGGCCATGATGGAGTTAAGCTTCGCCATCACCGAAGGCGGTATCTTAAACAGAGACATGAAATATGTAGGCAAGGAACTCAAAACTGTCTTCAATAAAATCAACCTCCCTGCCATTGACAAAGTCTTAGCCTTCCAACCTGTTAACCTCTTATAAAAATTTTGAACAACCGGATCCCACACCAAAAGAGAATTCCTCTTAGCACCAAGAGGCAACCCCAAATATTCCGTAGGGAAATGTCCTACCGAGCATCCAACAGCATTAGCCCACTGAAGAATCACTTCCTCATCAATATTTATCCCAAATAATTTGCTCTTAGACAGATTCAATTTCAGGCCTGACATAACTTCAAAAACACGTAGGATCCTCTTAACATTAATTACCTGTGTCTTCGATGCATTGTAGAAAATAATTAGATCATCTGCGAATTACAGATGAGATAGATTAACTGAAGCCTCATCGCAACCAACAATCAGGCCACAAAACAGACCTGAAGATACTGCCTTACGTAGCAGCAGATTCAACAGTTCTCCAACAAAGTTAAACAGCAGTGGGGAAAGGGAACAACCCTGTCTAAGACCTTTAGCTATAGGAAATTCAGCAGTAGGAACACCGTTAACTAAAACTGATACCGAAGCAGTTGTAACACACTTTCGAATCCAATTACACCACTTAGAACCAAACCCCATTTTGTTCATGACTTTAAAGAGAATGTTCCAATCTAATGAATCATAAGCCTTCTTGAAGTCCACCTTAAAAACACAATCCTTCAACCCTTTCTTCCTCCACAAATCAATTCCTTCATTAGCAATAAAAGAGCAGTCCAGAATTTGTCTCCCAGGAATAAAAGCAAACTATGACTCACTGATAATATCGTTAATAACAACATCTCAACCTTCTCGAAAGACACTTAGATAGGATCTTGTACATCCCACCTACAAGTGAAATAGGTCTGAACTCATCTAAACCCCCAACATTAGAGCCCTTGGGGATGAGAGTTATGAAAGAATGATTTATGCCATGTTCCCAATCCTTCCCCAAAAAGAAATTATAAAAAAACTTCATAATATCACCTTTCAAGTAAGACCAGAATTTAAAAAAAAAAACCATATTCAACCCATCGGGCCCTGGAGCTTTAATACTATCACACGAGCTGATGATTTCCCAAATCTCTTCTTCCGTAAACTCCTTTTCTAACATTAAATTCTGCTCCATAGAAATACGAGAAAAATTCAACTCAAAATCCTCCACTTCCAAAGTTGAAACACTGTTATAGGCTTTAAAGAAATGCTCCCTGACACTAGACTTGATAATGACAATATCTTTGATAATTACACCATCAACATTAATAGCATTCAGAGAATTTATTCTCCTTCTAATTGAAGATCATGTATGAAAAAATTTAGAATTTCGGTCACCATCTTTAAACCACCTCTCTAGAATTTTGGCACCAAATTTGCTCCTCAATTCTGTATAGTTTCCAAAGATCATTTCTTAACAACCTCAACTCTGACGCGTTCCCAACAGCACTGGATGACTGATTTTGCTGCATCCTCTTTTCTAATTGGTGAATTTTGTCTTCAAGAACAGAAATGTCCACACGTGGAAACTAATTCCTATCCCCAGACCAGCTTTTAATGGCATACATTGTATTCCCAAGTATACTCAAAATTCCAGCACTTTTCTTGTTTTTTTTAAATTCCTTAAATGACTCCACGACCTTCTCCTCAAACCCATCCTCAGACATTAAATAATTGAACAGCCTGAAAGGTCGCTTTCCCCAATTATCTTCCCCAATCTCAAACAAAATTGCATTATGATCAGAGATAGATTTAGGCAGTAAAAACTGATTGATCCCAGAGAATTCTGCAGAGAAACTAGCACTCACCAGGAACCTGTCGAGCTTAACAACAGTAGGCAAATCCCTATTACTACTCCAGGTAAAGTTACCCCCAATAAGAGGTAAATCAATAAGCCCCGTTAGCTGAATGAAAATACTAAAGATTTCCATAGAGTTTCTATTGTGAGCCTTGCCTTCCTTCTCATCTTCTGATAAATAAGCGTTAAAATCCCCTCCCACACAAAAAGGGATATTATACCCGTTTAAAAACAGTCCCAGTTCTTCAAAGAAACCAGCCTTCTCTTCCTCCACAGATGGACCATAAACGTTTATGAAACCACACCTAAAATTATTGGATTTGAACTCCCCGAAGACAACAATAAACCTCTTGTGAATATGATGATCTTCTACCACAAAGGAACTATCATCCCAGCAACTTAACAAACCACTAGAAGAACCTTCTGCTGGTGACTCAACGAACCTCTGCAGCCTATTCAAACCACTTCTCCTTAAAAAAGATCTTGGTAAATTCTCGAGTTTTGTTTCTTGAAGAAATAGAAAAGTAGGATTTCTCTCCGAAACTAACTTTTGCACAGCTCTTTGCTTCTCTCTTCTACCCAAACCCCTAACGTTCCACGACAAAATACTAAGCTTTGGCATGATACTCTAGATTAATAATACCTAAACTCCAAGGAAAACATCCGACCTCAAGGAGCCCCACTCAAACCTTTCTCCAACTCTATAATCTTCTGTATAAAAGCTTCCCTCCCTTCTTTGAAAGAAATTCCCAATAACTTGCTAATTTCCCATGTAGCAATAGCTTCCTCCACCAACAAGGGAAAAACTGATGAAGATAATGTAGAGACACTAGCATGATCCGTAGCATCCCTAAAAAGGGATCTTTTAACTCTCCTGATAATTCTCCTCGGCCTAGTACCATCATTGTCCCTTGCAGAAACCCCAGTTGGCTCAGCAACTTCAGAAAGACAACCTCTTGAACATAAGTCCCTGCCCATCACATCATTTAACACCCCTCGGGGAACCTCCTTCCCGTCCTGTTCATTCTTCCAATCCTGCACATTATTATTCCAAATCTTTCTGCATTTCGACCTGCTATAAAATATCTTGCGACTTCTGATAAGTTCCCTAGCAACCAGAGCAGTCTTCATGGATATCGAGCTTACAGAACTTGCTTGTGAACCAGCTCTTGAATTTAACAACTTTAAACCAACAGTAGGCCCGTCTCCATCTTCGATACCCACTGGATCCTTGATTTTATCTTTTTGAAGCCCAACCTCCCTGTCAACTATATCAAGCGCATAGGAATCTCCCCCCACACTCTTCCCACTATCCATCCCTACAGACAAGCCTCTCAACTTTTCATGCTGAGTGGAGACAACTCTCTCGGTTTCTGTACTTTTACTATGATGCGAACCCTGAACCCAGTCCTAAACCCTTCTACGGGTTTCTGACAACCCACATGGCCTTCATGCTTCACCTGAACATCCTCTGCGCTCCAATTGGAAGAGCGCTCCGCCCATGGCTCCTCTAGAACATCATCTTCAACAAATTCTGACAACTCAGGAAAGAAAACATCACCACCTTCCACCTTTATTTTGACCAGAAATTTCCTCCCATACGTTGTAATGGTAGTATGATCAGGAATGTCAAAAGGACTAAAGACCCTCAGGATCATTTGCGCCACTCTGCAGTCCACTTTCTGTGCAGTTTCATCTTTAATCTTAACTAGTTTACCCCACTTGGATACCAACCTAGTAAAAAAAGGAACCGACCAACAGTTTAAAGGGACTCCTATCATGGAGATCGAGCAATAAGCTAAGGGAATGTTGTCCTCATCGAACACAGGCTCCAACCTATCAAACCAGAAAGACAACTCTTCCCATTTTCTTTCCATCGCTGACTTCATCTCATCCACAGATTGGAACACGACCAAGCAAGCATTCTTAGCAAAGCCCCACCTTACAACCTTTACATTAAAGCCCTCATTCCTTAATGCTTTCTGCACAATTTGAATTTCATGAAACTCTTTACAAATACCAGTAAGGGACGATCTCAACCAGGCCCTTTCCTCCACTGGAATATACACATCCCTAGCGTTATTCATCTCCTTCGCATTTGTGAGCTTCCCCTCTTGCACAACCTCTGTTTCTTTATGTACCCCAACAACCGCATCTGAATAAGACCTTCCATCATGAAACCTATTCATCATCTCCAACTTCCTTACCCTTCCAGCTGACGAAGACAAACTTCCAACCTTTCGCCCTCTGACACCAACACTAGTTGCACCCTCAACCCCCCCAGCAATCTGCCTCCTCAACCCAGAATGTTTCTTATATTTAGCTACAATCACTGAAATTCTCCTCCCATCAATCAAGACGTTGTTCATCTTTTCCACTGTATTACACAGATCTTCCTTGCTTTCGAAATGGACAAACGCGAACGTATTAACCTTATACTTCGGTCTATTATTGAAAAGAGGAATGAACACCTTAATGACTTTCCCATAACGACTAAAACGAATCCATAAATCACTGCGTCTCACTTGCCTACTAAGATTATCGACGAAAGCTGACCAAGTAACTCCTCCATGAACTTGTGACAGGTACTTTAGGCAGCAAAGACTGGTTATAAACTCAGTCAAGACAGCACAGACACAACTGGGGCATCAGTGTTACAATTAAGGCTTCGTCACATGTTTCCTGTTGTTATGACTAAAAGGTACATATAATCAACAACTATGACGACATATTTTATTGGTACCTGAATGTTCTCTTTATGATGTGGGCAGATGGAATAAACTGGTGCATCATGACCTTCAAAATTAAACAGTTTTTGTCCCGTCATTGAATCCCATACCTGCTCCATTTCTATCATGAGGATAACAAGAAACATCCAGTTTAATCAACAGTTCTAAAAAAACTTAATAGCCCTTACCTTTATAAGTTTGTCATCTCCACAGGTAACAATGCACAGTTGTTTGTTTGGGTGAGCAAAGGCCAAGTCATTTACACCACCAACATGGGCATCAATCTGTTAATAAGAAGAAAAAGTCAAACAGTAGTCATGAATCCTTTTAGCTGCAGAAGTAGTACAAAATAACTAACCTCCAAGCGCTGGATTAGATCATTTGATCCAGGATAAGCATAAAAGTGAACTAAATGTTTGGAAAATGCAACACCTGCAACAAGAAAGGCAATAAGCACAAATATATGCAAACTAAAACAATAGTAATCTATCAAAAGGCACACACCTACGAAACTTCCATCGGGACTCCATGTGACACGGCTGACAGATATTGGTGTATCATTGACCATTAAAGCCTGCAGTATCCCCTCTAACGAAATCAATTTAAGTGTTGAAACACAGAGAAATTTCTAAAACAGACATGAGTCATATGACACAAATAGTTTGATAAACATTAGAAAAGGTATCACATAGAGAGAAACCTCGATAAATAATGACACACAAACCTGGAATTGCACTGAACATGTTGACATTTCCCACATCTTGAATGGCTTTGAAACCACCCTCTCCCTCATTCCAAGTTCCCAAAGTGTGATTTCACCATTAGAAGAACCAACTGCTCCAATTACATTGCATCAAGGAGATAAATTTCAAGCTCGTCTTGGTGAGAAAGATAAAAATAAACTTCCATACCGAGTAACAATGTGTGGTGTGAAGGATGAAAATCCATGCTTGTGACCATAGATCCTTGATGCATGGTAAAAGCCACTGTTCTTGGTAGGTCATCCAATGACCAAGCTTGCTGCCGTGGTGCAGGATATGCAACCTAAAAGTGAAGAAACATAAACATATTACTAAAACAAAACCAAGGGAATCTAAGATTATTCAGCTTATAAAGTTCCAGAACAAGTAAGAAGGATCAAAAAATGGGGGAAGAAATCACCTCCTCAACTAAAGGAGCAGGCCGCAATCTTTTCATTAGCTGGTCATGGTCAGGATTCTGATAATCAACCATGCCAGGCACTGCTGGAGGTGTTCTTGGACGCTTTAAGAATGAAACTGTTCAAATGGAAATGAGATTAAATTGCATGCAAAACAAGAGATTTACATGATGACACAAAGTGGTCGTTAGGCAAACTTGTATGGTATTTAAAGGCAGAGTTTTTTTTTTATAAAAAAAAGAACAACATAAATGCCTGAGAGTCTTCAATACCAACAAGAAAAGGTAAATAAGAATTCAAGTTAAAAGAAAATTGTTTCCTCAAGAGCAACACATCCAGGGATTATAAATGATGAAAATGTCATTCTAAATTGATATCAGACCAAAGACGGGAACCACACACCCCAATTTCAGTGGGGGAGCATTAAACTGATTTTTGAGCAACTTGTTAATAATAGATTAACTGTCCAAATTGTCAAGTCTTTCCTAAAGTTGGTTCCAATGAGTCAGACTGAAGTTCTGACCTTGATTTTGTGGAACAGGTATAGATGATGCCGTGACAACAGCAGCTTGGACAGATGATGAGGCAGAAGCATTTGCCATCCAGCCTGCTAAAGCACCAGCATTAGCAGCTGCTGCTGCAGCAGCAGCAGGTGGAGGGAAGGGCTGTATGCCAAAAGTAGGACAAGCCGCATGTTAACCAAAGTTATAAACATTATTATAGAGGAAAAGTAAGTACACCGTTCACAGAAATAACAAAATGACCACATACACTGTGTGCTGCAAGTGATGTATACACAGCAGGTTTTGGAACTGCAGCAACTGGAAGATTGACAGGTGTAGGTGCAAGAGGACCATTAGGAGGCGTACATGTGTGATCTGTGAATAAAGTCTTGATGTCTGGGTTTGATTTTGGGTTCTTGCATAGTTGATGCTGCCAGTTCAAGCTGTATGGACCCATACTTGCAAATCAAAAATATATACATACATATTTAATGGTAAACAAATTATATTTGCGTCACAACTCTATAATAGCAAGTATCACATCTTCACCTTTGGTTGATCAAAGTCCTTAGTCTTGAGGACCTCAAAGTAGGGAAAGCAAGCTTATCACGGAAAAGTGGATTTGCTTCTATGAGTTTCTTTAATTCTACCAACATTATAGCTCGAGCAGTTTTTGTATCCCCATATTTGGAAAGCTGCTCATTTTCTCTGTATTCAGAACATAAAAATACAATTACACAACTAGGAAGATTTCAGGCATTCATCAGGGTTTGGTTTATATTAATATGGAAAGCTGCTCATTTTCCCTGTAATCAGAACAGAAAAATACAATTATTTTTTTTTTTTGATAGGAAGAAAAATACAATTATGCAACTAGGAAGATTTCAGGCATTCATCAGGGTTTGGTTTACATTAAAATGGAAGTTTTTCTAAACAATGATCAAGATTGTAGTTACTCAGCTGAACAAAAGTTCACTTCTAATAAAAAAAATCCTTGTTATCCAATCAAATCTCTAAACTTAAAAACTGCATAATATATAGAAATAATCCATCAATTTTATGCCTTGGCAAATAGAAACTACATAAAATAGTTTATTTCCACCATGAAATTACCTGAAATTGTTGAGTGTCAAAAGTTGAGTGATTTCTTTGTATAATTCGTCATTAAATGTGGAGAACACCTTTAAATCAGTCATCAATATATCAAGAGCCTTTGCCTTTTCTTGCCTGCAACACATTGTGTGATTTAGGGTATTTCAGCAGGAAAAATAATTATTCATTAATCAACAATTTTAAGTATTTCTATTAGTGAAACAACTGAAGGATTAACAATACCGATCAAGTGCTTCCAGATACTTCTGCTTCCTTATCTCGAAGAATATCTTCATGGAATACCGGTTATCATCAACTTTTGTAAAACCAGATAAATACTTCTCGATCTCTTCCCATTCTCCGGCCTGAACTTTCTCTTCGAAGTACTTCAGGTTGAAGAAAAACCCTGATTCTTTCTCAAGCCTACAGGATACGACGTTGTTTCAATCAAAAATTCACAATCATATACATGCTATTACAATTTGCAAACAAATCACCCTTCTTCCCAAAGCCAAAAGTGAGGTACTAAGGAATAGAGAAACACATAGCCCGCCTAAAAAAAATTATACTTACAACTAATAGTTAGTTATCATTTCTTCTCCTTTCCAATCTTTTTCCCTTTCTAATAATTAAAAACTAAAACAACTTAAAACTAGAAAACAACAAATACATTCTTCAATACATAAACATGATAATTAATTCAATAATTAGGACTTCAAGCATTTTTCCATTACTTGCAAGTAATTCAACACCAAAAACTTCCCTCAGCAAGCAAAATCCTCTAATTTTCACCATTTACCACCGCTAAAATTCAAATTACCATAGCTACTAAAATTACTAAAAACAATTTTTACCATAATACTCCCCCCCCCAAAAAAAAAGGTAAAACTTACGATTCACAAATTTTTCCTTCATTTCCTTCTACTTATACATACGAAAACAAGTAGAGTACAAAGTAAATATACGAATACACTGTACGTACTCGTATACAGAGATTAATTAATTATATTGAAAAAAAAGGCTTACCTGTGAACCGACTCCTTAAATTTCTCTTCCTCCAGAAACTGAAGTATGAGAAACACCAATTCTCTGCTCAACGACGACATTTTCACTTCTCGGAAACAAAAAGGAAAGTCGATCTATCGAAACCAGCCGAGTCAAGGAACGATTACGGTCGATTTGTCTCAACTCTAACTTCGAATCTGAACTAATTTCGAGAGATTTACAGATTTGCCTTCAGTTTCTTTCTCTAACGTTTATGTAAAGCTCGAATTTCGAGGATTTTCTAGGGTTCCAAATACTATGAACAAGAAAAAAAAGATAAAGAAGATAGAGAAAATAGAGAGAGGAGGAGAGAGACGTGGTCTTGCTATCTTCAATGCGTTGTACAGACGTCTTTCTTTTTCTACTGACATAAAAGTGAAAGGCTATTCCACTTATCATGATAAGTACACTGTCTAATCGAATCAGTTATCAGCTTATCATTGCTTGGGATGATGGGAAAGAAAAGCGGATTCCAAACCTCATTCAAATCTAGCCAATATTCGGAACACACGTCCAGTGGGTCCACCCATCTCCTTTCTTGTTTGTCCTGTCCCTTCCGTTATTACGCGAGTTTTTTATGTCTCTTCATCTCTCGCGATATTTTGCTTTGACGAGTTTTAGGCTCGAAGCATGTACAGTCGATGATGAATATTCATTAGAAAGTCAATATATATTGTTTTGAAACTATTCTGAATGTATCGATAAATTAATATAAGATAATATAATTATAAAAAATTAACTAAAAATATATTATGATAAATATAAAAAGAAACATTAAATTATCTTAACAATAAAATTATCGTGTAATAAAAATATATGAACAATCACATCATAAAAATAGATAAAAACCTATAAAAATAAATGCTTCAAAAATATGCTATAAAAAATTAAAACAGAGAGAATTTTTATTTATACCTAAATTAAAAAAATAAATATGCAAATTTAAAAATAAACTGATTTAACAAAAAATAATAATGGATGTGCACTCATCTCTTATATACATAATACTCTGTCCTTTATCCATGGCGAAACTTCACGGGGTTAAGAGGAGCATTGGCACCCGTCAATTTTTTTAAGTATTAATTAATATTTAAATATATATTTAAAAATTAAAAAAATTATCCAACCCCTTTAATTTAAAAAATATATTTATGAAAAATAAAAGGGAATAGAGACAGAAGTGGTCAAATCCTCACCGATCGAAGAAAGTGTTTGGAACCATTATCGGTAGGAGAGAGTGGTCGAGGCTACATCGACAATGACCAAAACGTAATAAACTGATAAGGTGAGTGACTAAAATATAATTTTTTTAATAGATGAGTCAAATAATACAGAAAAAAATAAAATTGACATTAGGTATAATTTACCCAATTAATAAACAAAAAAATTAGTTATAATCTCACCCAAGAAAAACTACAAAACTCAAACATTTCAGTTAAATTATCATAATTGGTTCGTTTAAGTTGAATTTGTTAAAATTCAATCTCTTTTATTTTAAATAGTTTAATTAAATAAATTTTATAAAGAAAATATATTTGAAACTATCACATCCAAAATTCACATTATATATATTTTTAAAATTTTATCTAACCTGCTTCTGCAAATTTGGGTGGGCTTGGAAGATTAGTTTATGGGTAAGAATAAGCAAACAATACCGGGCTGCATATAGGCTGTTCGATGATTTGCCCCACTGAACTTTGATTTGATTTTTACTTCTTTCTGTTTACTCAAATTTCCCTCCGTTTCAGAGGAAAATAAGAAGGAAAAAAAACCCGCCATTTTGGGGGGAGGGGGGGGGTTCCTCAATGATTATATAATTTTACCATTATTTTCTGGATATATTTTATATTTGTTGACAGAGGTAGGATTCAAGTTCGTTTTAAAGAGTGGGTGGTAGTTCAATGGCGGCAATTAAATCAGGGGCATCGGTTACTTTGCTAGAGCTTCAGCCATCTTCAAAATATTTTAAGGAAGGAGCTTCACTTAGAGTAACTGGAAAGTAAGAACCTTAAACTTTTACATTCCTTTTTTATTCATGCATTTTGCCTAATTGTATTCCCTGTTCTAATTTTCTCTTAGTTGGCAAACTACTACTATTATCTCCTCACATCGTCTTGTTTCATGGTTATTGTTATCGACTTTGCTGTTGTTTCATAGCTGAGAGAATTAAGGACCAAGTCTTTAATGCAAAGCATGCAGATGATATATGGGGAATTGGAATTAGTGTTTGTCCTAATGAGATGGGTTTTATGAGAAGAGGGATGCAAATGAATATTAGGAGGAAAGGGCAAATAGAATTAGAAATTCGATAGGGTAAAGAGGTCTTGTTGCAGCGGCCTTTGTTATCAAACAATCCCATGGTAAAGGGGATGGTAGAATGGTGGTAGTAAAGTTTATATTACACTGATTGTTTAGGAGATGGGTTATATAATAGCTAGTGGACGTGGAGATGGTGAAGCGTGGTGGTGTTGTAGGCAAAAGAGACCATCATGAATATGTAAGGTAGCAGCAAACTGGTGATGGTGTGTTATTTGTTGAGTGGAGATGCAAATGAGTTAGTTCATGTTGGTGGAGTGGTGGTTTTTGTTGTATGGCAATAGTAAATGAAATGGTGCATGATGTTGAAGTCCTTGATGGGTTTTGCTTAAAGAATTGATGCAAGGATGTCTCTAGTTGTGTACCTCAGATATGAAGAAAAATATTACCTACGAAAGGCTGGTAAAAAGAAGGAAAGCAGAAACCATGATTTGAACATGTGTAGAGAATATTTAATAAGGTTTTCCAGTAGCATGTCGTATGCTATGACACCCCATTATTTGTTACAAATACTTGCTTGTTAGGCGCTGTCAATGATTTTAAACAACTATTTAATGCCTTATCAATTATGTACACATTTTTTTATTTGTGTTGCTGGATGATTGCATCGTCAGTGTATTATTTTTGTTTGTTAGTTGGTTGATTTTTATGATGTGATGTCATATCCATATTCAGAAAGGAAGAGAGGGAACTGTTACTCTGTCTCGGGAAGAACTTAAGTATTTTCATTTGTCCCTAGGCTGCAAGAGTATTCTGTGGAGACAGCCATGGCTGTTATTGCTGATCTAGGTGCCACTCTAAAGATAGATACCCAGCACTTGAGGGAACTTGGCTTCCGAATTGGCTCTATATTCCAATTCATTGGTGAACTCCATATTCAACCCAACAATGGGGTAAATTCCTGTACGACCAAGGTTAAATGCCTTTTTCTTTGCCCTATCTCTCTCCCCCCATCTAAGATTAGTATGTCCTGGTTATGTGATTTATATCAGGCAATACTGCAAGCATGTACTGGTAGGAACATTGACGGTATTGACCTTGATCTCTCTTATCAGTCTTTGCAGAAATTAAGACAGTTCCAAGCTGAGCACATGAAAAGTGCAGCTACGTGAATGAAGTTCTAGATTTGAATGGACCTGCTAGTGATTTCAAGGTACTGAAGTAAATTACTACTGAACTTATGTTTGTCGCAAATAACAGGAAAAAAAATTATACTTTTGGTTCTTCCAACCGTTATGCTGTCTAGTGTAGTGTAGTGCAAGGTTTACCTTGTGTTACTGTTTATGACTTGGTAACTGGAGGATTTGATTTTGCTTGCATTGCCTCATTTCCATTAACCTTTTTGGAACTACATGTTTGGCTGCCTAATTGGGATTCGTCCATCTCCTAGATTTTACGTAGTCACCGGTAGAAATTGTTTGAAAATGAGGGATATTTTAAAGAACCTTATCCCATGTCTCTTAGGCACTTAGCTAACATATTGTTCATAAACCTTAACACTTTGTTGTCTTTGTAAGATCCAATTGAGAGGATAGACTTGTGCCCATGAATATTGGTTCCAAAAGCTTAGTGTAAGTCCTGCACAAGTTTCCAAGAAAGTTATCAATTAAACATATTCCCTCTCGCTTTTGTTCAGTCTTTTTCTTGAAGTGTTATTGTTGTTCTCGTTTTCTGTTTTAGAACGAAAGAGCTTGTCGAATCTTGGTGATATATTATATGGCAAATCATCTTTAAAGATAGTGACCAACACACTTCTAGCTTTAAAGCTTGGATTTCTGATTTGCTAAAACTGGTTCAAAATATCCAACAATCTTAAGGACAATTGTTTGATGTTGTTCTTGCTACCAATACTGTTGCCCATGTTCCAACACTATTTGTATTCTTGCTGTTAGAGCTTCACATACTGCCAACCAGGGACTAAGCATAGCCACTGCACCCCCAAATTTTTTTTATAGTTAAAAAAATATATAGTGTAAATATCTACTTAAACCTTCAAATTTTAATTTATTTTGATTTTGTCCCCCATTTTCTACTATTAACTATACTTTGCCCCTTAAGCTAACTCCATCCCTGCAGCCAACTTGGTGAAAGGAAATGCAAAAAACAGGTATATATGATACTATCTAAAAATGGTTTGGGTGTGTCCTAATATTAATTTAGAAATGAAATTAAAGTAAAAACAGTAGAATTCTAAGTTAAATTTTAGTCAAATAGTTATAAAATCAAAAGAGGAGTGAATCATGCGTATTGGAAGGCGATGTGGGTGATTACCTCGTGTATGAGTAGGGGGTGTAAATGAACCAAGTTTGAATGAATAATGTTATGTTCATGTTCGTTTAGATTTTAATATCATGTTCGTGTTCGTTTATTTATTTTTGTAGGTTTTCGTGTTTGCTTATTTATTTTTGCAGGTTTTCGTGTTTATGTTTACGAATGTGCTCATTTAACGTTCGCGAACATGTTTATTTAGTGTTCATTTATTGTTCAATTTTTTGTTTTACCTTTTCCTTTGCAAGGTAAAAAACAATAAAATTACACTGTTGATGCTTAAACTCCTTAAAAGTTACAGTTTAAATTTTACTGCTTGTACAATTTAGTCCCTATATTCACCAATATTTAAAATGTAAAAAAAAGGAAAAAGAATCGGGTAAACAAGCTTGTTTATGAACATAAATGAATGAGTCGATAAACGAGCTCATAGATGAGGGTGTCTGTGAACATAAACGAATCAAACACACATATGATCGTGTTCATTTGTTTATTAAATGAACATATTTTTTCTCATAATCGTTTATTTAACTTAACAAATAAACATAAACGAACGATTCATGAACAACTAACTGAACGTTCTGTTCATGTATACTCCTATGGACGAGACGAGAATGACCACGGGACAAGGTGGGATGGGTTTTTGGCGGCATTGATTCCAACTTAAAATTTAAGAATTTTAATTAGATTCTAATTTGATTTCAATTTCAACATAATTTAATCTGATATGATTCGACCTT